GAAAAAAAAAATATAAAAAAAAGATATATATATATATATATATATATATATATATATATATATATATATATATATATATATATATATATATATATAATTGTACTTACTTAGTCAATTCATGACTTTGTCCTAAAAGGAGACACAGCTAAACACAGAATCACTGAACCAGGAGTACTTTCAATGGGAAAGAACAGGTGCACTGCAAAAACATTAAATCTTACCAAGTAGTTTTTCCAGTTTAGTGCAAACATAATATACTTGAAATTGACATAAATTACAAGTAACTTTTCAGCAATATATATGAGCTTATTTTAAGCAAATAATTATAGATAAAAGGTACTAGGTTCACTGACATATTTCTTTTCACTTACATCAGAAAATTTTAGTTAAGTTATATTTTACTTATTTCAAAAATATTTGCACAATCAACTGCACCAAAAGTACTTTGTAAGATGTGTTTTTGCGGTGTAAAAAAACTACATAGTTACTGGAGTGCATTGCTATTTCAGCAGCATTGTTGAAGAAATGCCGAAATCATTGGACCAGGGGTACTTTCAATAGAAAGAAAACAAGGAGACAGAACAGGAAAGTCTCATTATGACTGTATTTGGCAGAACTTACAATTTACATTTGTTTTACTACTAAATTGATGGTTGAGCCATAAAAAGTATCTTATGTTGCATTTGACTTTCATTTAACACGTGTTTTAAATCAATGTTAATTTAACCAATGAAAATGTTTAAGAGTTATCTCGCTGCTAGGTGTGAGGAAATCCTCCTCGGTCCCCTCTTGCCCTTTACACAGACAGGGCGGGTTTGTGTGTGAAGGGGGCGGGGTAGCTGCGTACGTGTAGCCGCTTTGCTCCTGCAGTCGCTCGGACCACTCTGCGGATCACACGGGCAGCTCTCTGGGTGTCAAAAATGGTGAAAATAACGACTGTCAAGACCAAACCCTACACGGACCAGAAGCCCGGGACGAGCGGGCTGAGGAAACGGGTGACGGTGTTCCAGCAGAACCAGCACTATGCGGAAAACTTCATCCAGAGCATTATCTCCGTCATCGACCCAGCCGAGCGACAGACTGCCACTCTGGTGGTGGGAGGAGATGGGAGGTTTTTCATGAAGGACGCGATTCAGCTCATCGTTCAGATTGCAGCAGCCAACGGGGTCAGTTGGAGAAAATAAATGGTGAAAACTGCTGCTGGTTGAATGTGTGGTGAGCTAATGTAGCAAGTCTGCTAGCAAGTGTAAATTTAGCTAGCTGTCAAGGTTGTTGGCTATTTAATTCTTGCACTCCACTGTATTTTCAATAGCTATGACACTACGTTACTTCATTTTGATTAATTGTAATGCTTATTGTATTTTATGTTGAAATATAGCTAATATTACCGGACTAAGAGTTTTGCAAGAGCAAAAAGTATGCTTCAGTTCAGTTAATAATAAGCTGATAATACGTGATGCAACTGGTGCTATCAAGCTGTCGATGGTCCCCTAAGGTTGCAAAATAACTGCAAGCCATTACAAGCTCTCTCCATTCGCTTGGTTGGAGCAACAACAGCATTCCTGCCTTCACTTGTCAGTCTCTAATTATTACACGAATTTCAGTTTAGTCTTCGTTTATGGAAAACTACCTGACTGTTTCAGAGCCCTTCATAGTGAACTACTCTTGTATGCCCTCCAAACCCTCTGTGTACTTTACCAACCACCTACATGACAGCAGAGGTCCTTCAGAAGAGGTGCAGAAGGGAACTGTATGGCAAGCACATGTAAGATATAATCAAACCTCAATCCGTTTTTAGTTTTTTATTTTTATTTTGACTGTTTATTTCGAAGATAGAGATAAGAAACAAACTAAATACAATTATCACAATTTACAAACTTAAGAAAAACTATCATGATGTTTACATGAATTTGATCCTTCTCCCCTCCCTCAGCAGTAGTTGCATAAAGTTGTCAGTGTTCCATTTACTATAAAGCAACGTGTATGTGTACTTGTGCATGAAAACAGACTATTTACTATAAGTGACAATACATTTGTGCAAACAGAGATGTGCAAATACCAACAAAAATGTTGTTTAAAATAGAAATATCATCAGATCTCATTGGATGTGCAGTAGAGTACCAGTCACCAATCCACCATAGGCTGAACCTACTATATGTCATAAAATGACATCAAACAACATTTATTACACTGAGAAATACAACTTGCCATTAAAATTCCAATAAATCAATGTAGATTGTGACAATAATGTCTCTATATATTTGATTTTATGTGATTTAAGATTGGATATTGATTGAGCTGCACCTTTAAGATTTTCCATCATTTTACACCACAAATTCTTTGGGACATCCAAATACCCTGAATATGTAGATTTATTGTTTCCCTTAAACATTCCTTTCCCACTCTATCACTGAAAACTATATATATAGTAAGCAATTGGCTTACTGTGACTGTGTAGCTCTAGTTCCACTGTATTGCTATTGAAAATGGCATATATGTGTGTGTGACATTATATTTCAAGTGTTTTAAAACTTCTTGAATTTGCCCCAATTTCAGATGTTTAGCATGAAACTTCCTTGTTGAAACCATTTTTTTTTTTGTATTATAATATTCAAAACAATATCCCAATGCGATTTTTCTTTTCTTTTGAAAGACACACGATTCAGACGTCCACAGTATTCATTTCAGTTGGGCGGAATTTAAATACTATTAAATAGTAAAATGGCTTGCCATATAAACCATTACCTTTGACATTTGCGCACTAACGCTGCAGCATTTTGCGGCTTTAAGGGTTGAAACGTTTTTGCTGACTTAATACCGAGTTCTCTCTTGCGTAGTTTTAAAAAAGATATACAACGCAATTGGAAAAAGAAGTAAAGATGTGTTTCCGTGTTGCTTCACAGAATAGTCAGAGGGATACTTCCGCGGGTAGGGGGCGTGACATGCGTGTAGCTAGTCGCGATGCTCTGCATAGGCCTGCAGCCTTGGAAGCTGCTGCGTCCTAAGCTGCAAATATGCATCACTGTTTGTGGTTTAAATTCGGACTTTAAGGCATTTAATCATCAGAGTCTTGTGTTGCAGAGCGGACAGTTTCAATGGAAAGCATAAAACTACCATTCAAGGCTCACAGTAATGGTTACAGTCTCCAGAATAGGTGACCTTATCTTTGCCTGATAGCAAGGCGATATGTGCAAAATCCGCCGGTATTTATGTCATATTTGGCATTTTTAGCAATTTGTGGTTGATGTTAGGAAATGACTTGTTGGGTAATGGTGATGTGGACTAAGCAGCAGAGAAAAGTTCAGATGTTTACACAAAACATACCAAGGCATCAGCATGAGCACAAGTTACTGAAAGTAGAATAGGTTGTGCTGTTTGTGATGATTACTAAACTGGATATGACCTAATGAATGTTCAAAATTACTTCAAAACAGGACATTAATAATATGCTAAAAGATTACTGTAGTTTGCAGCAACATATACTTACATGAATCTTCCATTGTATTTACTCAGTGCTTGGATCTGAGAACTTATCCAGACTGGGGTTAATCTGTGGATCTGCATTGTTTTGCAGATTAATCACCTTGTAATTGGTCAGAATGGCATAATGTCCACCCCAGCAGTCTCCTGTGTGATCCGCAAGATAAAGGCCGTGGGCGGCATCATCCTCACAGCCAGCCACAACCCAGGAGGCCCCAGTGGAGACTTTGGCATCAAGTACAACATTTCCAGTGGAGGTGAACAGAGATTAAAAACAATCACTGTGGAGAAGTGGTTATATTTTTCTGCAATTTATGCATAATTAACCCAGTGTTTCTGTAAATGATGGTTTTCTTCAAATTGTTTTTCTCCAGGACCTGCTCCCGAAGGCATCACAAATAAAATCTTTGAGATTAGCAAAGGCCTTCAGGAGTATCAGATCTGCCCTGAACTGAAAGTGGATCTGGCTACAATTGGGAAGCAGACCTTTGAAGTAGACACTTTTAAGCCCTTTACAGGTAAACTCTATCTTTAATGTGAAATTAATGGCAAGAAATTTTCATGAAATTCACATTTGCGTCATCAAATCTTTATTTCTAGCACAGCATTTAGACCAGGGGAGTGCCTGGTCCATTTAGACCATTTTTACTCTCAGGCTCACCAAATAAAACTTTAGAGCCACAAATTTCCCACATTTATGAAAAAATACACTATCATTTTAGATAAGTATCTACTATAAAAAATGTTCTGTCATTTTTAAAGAAACACATTTTTATTTCTGTTTTTAGGATTTCAAATAAAAATAAAAACAAAATTTAGCAAAAAGATGATGGATTTTTTTCTGTGGGATGGAAATTGATGTAAAAAAAACACATGGAGTTCAACCCAATCACTTGAAAAAACAGATAAAAAAACATATTACTTTTTGATTACTTTCTTTGTGGAAATTCAATGTGTGTATATATATATACATATATAGAAGGAATAAACAGAAAAACTGTTAAAAAAATATGCTGCAGGGTCGCAAGTTTCTCAACTCTGCTTTAGGCATTTGATTTAGTATTTATTTAATTTGAAATGTATTGATTCAAGCTGCTAATGTCCACATCTTCACAATTTCTGGTCTAAAATGCTCATATTTTGTCCTTAGTGGAGATTGTTGACTCCGTTGAAGCCTACGCTGAGATGTTAAGGGGCATCTTTGACTTTGCTGCACTGAAGGATCTTCTTTCTGGCTCTAACCACATTAATGTGAGACTGGATGCGATGCACGGAGGTATGAAGCCGCCATGAAACTCATATAAGGGTGTTGCACAGTTTTGCCTTGTATGAACAGATTACCTAGGGGGAGAACACATTTTTTGATGTGTTCTCCCCCTAGTGGTGGGTCCTTATATTAAGAAGATCGTCTGTGAAGAGCTGGGTTCTCCTGCCAACTCTGCGGTCAACTGCGTCCCCCAGGAGGACTTCGGTGGTCATCACCCTGACCCCAACTTGACCTACGCTGCTGACCTGGTCAACACCATGAAAAGTGGAGAGTATGATTTTGGAGCCGCCTTTGATGGAGATGGTGTAAGTTGCCACATGTTTTTGGGGGAATTACTTTTACAGCTTTAAATCTAGCAGAGTGTTTGGGTGTTGCGTCATTAGTTGATGATGTCAATGCTAGTAAAATAACTTTATTAAACACTGTTTTTATTGGGTTATATATTTATTTATGTTTTTGTCTTCTGTAGACTGGATTGATTTATCCAAATCATTGCTTCCATATTGTTTTCATCTCAGCCTTTATTCTTGACACTTATCTCATGTTTCATTAAATAAATAGAATTCATTACTACATTTTATGGCAATAAAAAGTAAAACGGTGCAGCGTATTTACTATGTTCATCATTATATTTCTCATGAGATTTCAAATCAGTTTAAAAATATGTATATTCAAACAATTCCTTACATTTTTTAAAAACTATTGATACATGTATTTGATACTTATATTTCTAGTTTTAGATTTCCTTCATGTTTAAATTAATTTTACAGATAAATATTTAACAGAAAAATTGTCAAATTGAAAGAAAAAGGAAGATTTGTCAATAAAATAATGTCTTGACAGAGTTATATAACTGTTTTTTTTTTTTTCATACTTATATTTTAATAAAGTTCAATCATGTTCAAGATTGTTCCAAACACTGATAAGCTGGATTTTATGAAGCAATGTTTTGAGTTTGGTTTTAATATTTTTACTGAAGGGAAAAGAGTAATAAAATGGAGGAGAAGGCAGCAGTCATCTGTCTAAATAATGCCATACTGACCAGAAGAGAACCGGCTGACATCCCAGTGAGTTTTACATGATGAACATTCACTCCTGATCTCTGGATTCCTGTTCAGGATCGAAACATGGTGCTGGGCAAACATGGCTTCTTTGTGAACCCTTCCGATTCTGTGGCTGTGATTGGTGCCAACATCACCTGCATCCCGTACTTCAAAAAGACCGGCGTCAAAGGCCTGGCCCGCAGCATGCCCACCAGTGGAGCTTTGGACAAGTAAAAGACAAACACATTCTATAAATGTTGATCTTAATTTTATGTCATAGATCCATTATGGGGTTTATTATGTGCTCCTATTTGTTCCAGTGTGGCCAAAGCCCTGAAGATGCAGCTGTATGAGACTCCAACAGGCTGGAAGTTCTTTGGGAACTTGATGGATGCTGGTAAACTCTCACTGTGTGGAGAGGAGAGCTTTGGCACTGGTGAGAGAAAGTCTGCCTCTCTTAGGAGAAAACACCTTTACCCATTTTCACACTCATCCACATCCTCTGTGTTTTACCCTTATAGGGTCGGATCATATCCGTGAGAAGGACGGCCTATGGGCCGTGCTAGCATGGTTGTCCATCTTGGCCAGCAGGAAGCAGAGTGTGGAAGAGATCATGAAGGATCACTGGCAAAAGTTTGGCAGGAACTTTTTCACAAGGTCAGACATATTACAAGCTTCAATTCTTTGTTTCTAAAAAAGTCATTAATGAAAGTTAGTTTTCTAGTTTGTTTTGTAGCACCGTGTGCTGGAAGAAGAGGGAACTGCAGCACACAACATTAAATTCTCTTCTTGACATTTTTTTAAATTTAGTTCCCCCCCTTTGTAGATATACACAGGATTCATACAGGTGATTGAAATCCTTGAAAATTAGGTGATTTCAAGGTTTGGAAAGTGCTTGATACTCAAACTGCACAGTATGGTTAAAAAAAAAAAAAAAAAAAAATGGCAATCTAACGTTTGATTAAAAACCTACATTTGGAGAACATTATTTACAGTTGAAGCCAGATATTTACAAACATCTTATTCTATTGGGAAAGTGTACAAACCCTTCATGTGAAAACTTTCCATTCCCGTCTCTTTCACTTATTGGAAAAGCATCATAACACATTAGCAACCATATTCTGCCTTTATTCCACTCTGTGTTTGTATCATATTCGCTTCATCTAGGTACGACTACGAGGAGGTCGACTCAGATGCCGCAAACAAGATGATGAAGGATCTGGAGACGCAGATGTCCGACACGTCGTTTGTTGGGAAGCAGTTCTCATCGGGCGACAAGACGTACGCGGTGGCCGTTGCTGACAACTTTGCCTACACCGACCCCGTGGATGGAAGCGTGTCCAAAAACCAGGTAGAAATTTTGTGGAACTGAATGTTCTCCTCATTTTCCTGCTGTTATTACAGGGCCTATTCAAAGTATTGACACCCCTCTAAAACATTCCTGATGTTGCCATGTTAGAACCACTTTATATTAAGTGCATGGTTTTCAAATAAAGAAAATGAAGTGTGATGGTAATTTGTAGTTAATCCTGCTTATTTAGTTTACAGCCTTCCCATGGCATAATGCTGCCAAGACCATGTTTTGCTGTTTATAATGTATGTTTTGCTTTCAGGGTGACTGCAGCATTTTCTTGCTGACCACAAAGTTTTATGTTGGTCTCATCAGACCAGGGCATAAGTGTTTTTTTTTTTTTGGGGTCACAAGTCTCAATAAAACACATTAAAGGTTGTAAGGCACCATGATGAAATGTGAAAAAGGTTCTCCTACTTGTGTCTCTGAGGTCATTTAATATTTTATACTGAACCTACATTTTTTGATATGACTTCTATTATTCAGAAATTGGCTTGACGTTGGATTAAGTCATCAGTTCAGTTTCGTAATCCCACCATGCATGTCCTGACTTCCACACCTGGACATGGTTTTCGTTCAGTATCTATCTTCCTTTATCAGTTTTGGCCCGTCTCTCGTTACCTCTCCTTTGCTCCCTCAGGGCCTCCGGATCATCTTCGCCGACGGTTCCAGGATCATTTTCCGTCTCAGCGGCACAGGCAGCGCGGGAGCAACCGTCCGGCTCTACATAGACAGCTACGAGAACGACGGCCAGAAAATCCTCCAGGATCCACAGGTCAGGACGTCCAGCAGTGATCTCAGCCGATAAGAAAATTAGAGGGAAAAGACGTATTAATTTCTTTGTTACAGCACCCTCCACCCAGAATCCAGCAGGAGTGCCAGAACTGGACTCCTCTGTGGTTTCTGCCAGCTCTCAGTGGGTGGAGGTCTTCAAAAAAACAAGCATGAGACATTTTATTCAACATGAGAGCTGATGATGATGGAGATGTTTGGCAAAGTTTCGAGTTCTGACAGCATATCAGGGCATGTAGGAAGAGAGAGAAACACGGCACACAGGGAAAAAAAAATAGAGAGCACATGTTCCAGCTGACACTTTATAAAGTGGTTCTGACTGGTGTGGACAGGGAGGTGATGCAGTACAAGAAGGAGAGAACGTGGAAAACAGTTCTTCCCCTGGATCCCCGTTTTTCCTTTGAGGTTATGGAGCGTGGATAAAGTGTTAAGCAGAAACACGCCGCTGCAGATTCTTAACTTGACAGGAAAATGTCCCCGGAGGAATGATTCAGTTGGCTGATCTTGCCAAGATGTGATTTGCAGACCCAAAAGGAAAAAAGGAGAAAGCAGTTTGTAAAAAAAAATAAAAAAAAAAAAAGAAAAAGAAAATCTAAATTCAGGATTTCATTTTCCCCACTGAGTAATCAAATATTACTTCCCAACTAAATATGGCCATTTATCTATTTGGGCTAATTCTTACTGGCAGCTTAAGATCGATAAATTCAGTTCTTCAACTTTTCAAATTAAAATTTTATTTTGAAATATATTCAATGATATACGAATTAAGTAGATTTTTACAGGGTTCATGTGGAGTCTTTTAAGTTTTCTGGAAAATTTCATTGATGCATTTTCCAGATCTGGAAAAGTATTGGAAAATATTTGTGCTTCCAGACTTGGTCAATCTTTGCATATCAGAATTGTTTGTTTTTATTTATGATTACTTTTCTTTTAACGTCTCAGACTGCTCGGGTTCTAGTTGGAGGTCTGTTCAAGCCCGACGGAAAAGCCACAGCTATCTCAGGTTTAGACAAGGGTCCACTTCGGCATCAAACTTCTCTCTGAACTTTAAATATGTATTTTAAAGCCAGTATAAAAGCCGTCATCGGTATATTTGTTCAAAAAACAGGATAATATTAAATTAAGTGCTGTTTTTCAACTTTTCCTTCACATTTTACACAATGAAAAAGAATTTATTCTTCCACCAGATGACGAGTAAATGAACACATTGTTGCAGATATGTTCATGTGTTAGTTTTTCTTTGTTTATGATGTCTGATGTATTGTGTTTTTATGGAAGGCATCAGACGAAATTCCGTTTTTATGGACAATAAAGTCTTTATCTTATCTTGATCCTTGTTATAACTTGGCACACAGTAATGTTTTTGCTCCAAGCATCAGAAATGGAAAGCAAAAAAAAAAAAATAATAACGTTTGCATCACAGAAAAACAGATAAATATAAAAAAAAATTATTCCAAAAGTGAAGGAAACTGATGAAGGAAAATTTATGCTGAGGTAAAGTGAAATTTGTTGGTCCAAACGGAAATGTAGCTTGGATGTCTGTCATTCTGTGTGGTGGTTGCACATTAACTTACTTTAAAGCTTTAGTTAAAACAGAGAAAATGTCAGTACTTTTACAGCAACACTGCCTTTAGAGTCATCTGAGTCTGCTACTGTAACACCTGTAAGACTATAAAATCACCACTAGATGTCACTACAGCCTACACACCATAAGAGGTAGTAAAATCTCAGTAAGCAATGGTGGGATTTTTTTCTTCTTTATATTTAGTATAACATAGCTTGGTCTCTCCTCTTCCAGTCGCCAAGACATTTTTTCTGGTTGCTAAACTGAACAGGAAGTCAGTTCCACTTACTTCCTTTTGCTGTGTCCGTGTCCAGGTGATGCTGGCCCCTCTGGTGGACATCGCCCTGAAGGTCTCCCAGCTCCAGGAACGGACCGGACGCTCCGGCCCCACTGTGATCACATGATTCAGCAACACAATACCTCCTCCCCTTTTGTGGGGTTGAGCTGCCCCTGAATGCTGTCACAGCCTTCCTAAAGCTAGAGATAGACTAAAAAAAAGGAAACACAGGATGAAAAGGAGAAAATACTTTGATTTATTCACTGCCTTCTTTTTGTATTAAGCCTCAGTGATGCATCAGGCTGTTTAGGTCTAACTGGGACAGTTAACTGTCCTAACACATTTCAGTCATCTGCCTGACCTAAGCGCACTGTTAGCATATGTTTCCACTTGTGATTACATAAAAAGAGCTCGCCTCGTTTCCTCTCTGGAAACGTATTTAGTCCAGGAAATGTTTTTGTTCAACTCTGATGCACAGCAAAATCATGTAAAGCAGATCCTGCTAAACTGAGCATAAATCAGCTTTTCTGGGCAGCCTTACCCCTTGTGTGGTCACTTCCCCCTGTGATGCTGTTGGGTCTTCCTTTTTCTGTGTTTGTCCAAGCTACCGACATCGCCTTTAAACGTGAGCCACAGCTGTAGTATAAAGAATTAACAAACCGGTCATGAATAAAAAGAGCCTTGCAGGAAAGAACAGTGGTCAGATTTGTTTTTTAGTGTTTTTCAGGGTGACCATTCTTTTGAGTTTACTGTTGGATCTTAGTAAATTAGAATATAATCAAAAAAATTAATCTGTAATATAGAATAAAAAAAATTAATGGATGATTCAATCTTAATTATTTGTAACAGAATAAAATATAGACCAATAAAGCTTGTCAGCAAAGTGTAGAAAAAATGTTTCTACCATGCTCTTCCTTCCACTTAACTTTCCTTTAACATGTTTGCATATAGTACTCTGTGAACGGCCAGCTGTTTTCTGGCTTACTCTTTTTATGCAGGGTGTAATTTACTACTAAGCAAAAGTCAGCTTATAATATAAGTATGTAATTTCTTTATTAAAATGTATATTTTTCATTGGTGTTATGGAATTCAGAGAATTATGAATTATGGTTTTTAATGAGCTGCAAACCTTACTTGTAAAAAATATGCAGGAGCTAGACATAGCTCCTAGTGTAATTAATATACATAATAATACTAAGTTATTGATATTCTAATTTCTGAAGATGCCCTGTTATATTTGGTCTGCTATACATTTATATGTCAACTTTCCTTTGAGAAATAATTTCCTGAACAAACCAGGATTAAAGCCCTGAACGTTCACAAGAGAAGATTGTGTTTAGTGCTGATAAGGAACTTTTCTTCTCTGAATTGAAAAATTACTGCAGATAAACGTAGACATCCTGTTGGACGAGGAGCGAGCCAAGTGCTTCAGTACCCCTCCAAAAACAATCCTGAAGAAGACAGAACATTATAAACATTATTCCTGTCCCTCCTCAATCTTTTTTTGTAAAGAGAGACACTGTATTTATAATCAAAAAATACAGTTATAAAGTTTCAGGATGTTGAGAATCCCTCAAGCTTTATCTAAGTTAAGCTGATGTTTTTTTTTTCTTTCCTTTTTTTGTAGGAGAATGTGAAATTTTAGAAGGCCAGCAACAATCCAAGAAGCAGCTTGGATCATTTTAGATTGAGGTGCTGGATTAGTTTAAGCCTTTTCCTCAAAGACCTCAGTTATTTTTGGAAAATTGGTCGCAATTTAGTTAATTTGACACTTGGGTGGAAAATCAGGTGAACCTTGGCAAGCAGGAGGATCGGTTCTCTTTTCTTGGATTGCAGAATGGAAAACTTGCCTCAGTCACACATTACACTACATTTATTTATGTCCAATGCTCATCCAGATCAACCAAATAAACGACGTTAATATTTATGCACTAATGGTTAACTTTAGCGAGCTAAAGTTTTTCATGCGGCTATCTATGATGACAGTACAACCCACAGTTTCATCAGACATTCATGTCCTGTCTGTTAACTTGTGGATGCTCTGAGTCATATTTTGCATGCCGTTGTTGGCTTTAGATCTGAGTAGGAGTGTCCGATCTTTTTTATCCATATTCACATTAAGTTTGCAGATAAGGTCTTTATGTCTGGCTGCTGCTTTTCAAAGGTAGAAAATTGAGCTTTTGGGCTCTACATCTGCAGCAAGTTCCTTTTATTCCATGAGGAATTGGGGCAGAGTGGACATTTTTTCCGTGCAGCATTGTTTAAACCTTGTCAAGCTGATATAGTGCAATGTATAACATGTTCTTTTTGTTTGCTTCATAATAGCACACAGACTTTATTTGGATTGGCTGTCATTACATAGGTAATCATTGAGAGGCTTACATTAAACTGGCCTAGTCTCCAGCTATTAAATGTCCAAATAGCTCTTTTTTTGTTGTGGAACTGGGTGATTTTAGAATAGCCTCCTGCTGGAAAAGGGCAATACAGGACAAAGACGTCATTCTGAAAGCACAGTAATAAGGCCAAGTGAAGAAATGAGGTCTCTTCTTGTCTGTTTGAAATGTTTCATCTGTTCCTGCACACTTGATGAAGTACGACAGGAAGACCATGATGACACAGTATTTTATTCCAGTCTCTTTTGAACTGTAATGAATAGTTAGTTCATTTTCAACAGAACAAAATGACATGTAATCTGGTCATCTTAAGTCTTAAATTCAAGTGAGCACAAAGTCCAATGAATAGCAGCAGTACATTGTATTCTTTTTCCCATGGGGGAAACATTATAAAGCATTCGAATTCTGCTATTTTATTAAACTTTGGATGCATTTTATAAATGCATTTCCCTTAGATGGAGCTCTTTTGCCACTCAAAGATAAAGAATGTTTGATAGAATCAAGAGCTTAAGCTCATTTGTGGAAGCATCATGCTTGGAGATTGTTTCACTGTTACTAAAACTTGCGAATTACACAAAAGGTGACAAGCAGGCATCACTTAGAGGTGGTCTCTAGTTCTGTAAACCTTAATCATGACATTGTATGTCTCACAAATATCTTTGACTGTATTTTATTTTAACAAATTGGAACTTATCTTTCTTACATAAAACTTTTCAGAAACTCAAAATATTTTATAATAGTTTGAATAGTTTATTTGTGAAATGGAAATTACACATTTTCATTATGACAATACATTTTGAATTTAATTTCCAGGTTTGGGTGATTATAAAAAAATAAAGTTAAACGCTGTAAGCGCAATAAAAAAAATACAGTAACTAATTATGAAACAAACAATAAGCATTACATTTTGTCCAATAACATCAACAAAATCATTAAGGAAACGTATGTCAAAAATGTTGATCAGTGTTCCAGTTACAAGAAAGGAAAGACAACTGTGGACAGGTAGCATTTTAACCTTCATTTAAAGGAACTCAGTGTTTCAGCATCTTTGCAGTTTTCTGGAAGTTTGTTCCAGATTAGTGGCACATGAAAACTGAATGCTGCTTCTTCATATTCAGGTTCTGGGGATGCAGAGCAGACCAGAACCAGGAGACCTGAGTGGTCTGGAAGGTTGATACAACAGCAACAGGTGTTTAATGTACAGTATTTCAGTGATTTATAAACTCGCAGAAGTATATGCTCTGAATTGCACTGTAAGGACTTTAGAACTATAATGAACATAAATAAACAAAATTGGGTGCAAAAATTTGAAGTTGAGGAATTTCCTCAACTCATACTGGAACAAAATTGGATGGCAAAACTTCAGCTTTGAAGTGTAGCCTGTAAGTATTCATTAGGGTTGGATTCAGGGCCTGTCCAGACACCGAGTGTTGACCTACCTGCTTTATTCAGTACAATTTTGACGTTTGCTTAGGATAGCTGTCTTGTTAGAACAGGCAACTGTTCAACTAATCTAACCAAATGTCACCTCAAATGAAAGGAAATTTGTCTGGATTTTCCAAAACAAACTAGAAACCATAAAAGGCCCCAGCCAGTTATAAACCATATAATGCTTGAGTACCAGTATCCCTGTCCAACTGGTGAAACCAGTTCCACCAACTCCAAAATCAACACCTTCATGTTCAACTGATTTACATGTGCCAACATGCGTTTAATAAAAGTTTTATGGTCAAATAAGACAAAGATTGATCTGTTTGGCCACAAAACTACAACTGTTTTTGGAGGGATCAAACAGCCTTTCCAGTGAATGGTCATGGTAACATTGCCCTGAAAGCCTGATTTAGTTCCAGTGTAATAGCCAAATATATTCCCAGAATAAATCAAAATCATTGATTGGTGCATACAATGGATGGATCAATGGAAGGATCAGTTTGGTTTTATTTTTGTATTTGAATATGTAATTCTGACTGGATTACAAAAAATACACAAGCATGTGCATGCAATAGTTTAACTTGCATATTTCATTATCTACCCCTCCCAAAAATGATCAGTCAATAAAGAAAAAAATCCCAAAGGGATGACATTAATGTAACTGATGAGAACATGAGCATTTCTGGAGCTGTAACAGAAATCAGACCAAATCCCAGGAGCAGTGTGGAGAAAAGCAAAGTATTACCCATCATTTATTAAATTAATAGACTGTTAAATCATCTCGACACCAGTACCTTTAGAATTTAATCTTTGCTTAATGTGTTGTCTGACATTATCCCCAACAGTTTTTCATATCATGTCAAACAAAAAATGTTTCACAATCTTACAGAAAGTGAGCACATAGAAATGCTTCTAGATATGAGGCATTTATAGTCTGTGCTTTTTGCCAGCATTCTGCAAACATTGAGCATTGCTACCAATCATTTTGTCCTGGCTCCATGCTGCTTGCCAGCTATATTTCATCACATGAAAGCTGCATTCTTATGTATTTAAACAGACCAATGTAACTGTAAGATTTGCTTGTAATTGTGTCTTTAAGTATGGCCACGACCCCATGTAAGAAAAGGGACGTTTCCCCACCGTTGTGTGTTTTCACAAGATCGACAATATTCTCTGCCACATTACTTTCCATTTATTGTTTAACCAAAAATTTGCAAGCCTAAACAGCAAGTGAGAAACTAAAGCAACTCCGCTTAGCTGAAGAAATGAACAGGCTTTTCATAGGGTGTGTGAGGTTAGCCAAGTCTCAGAGAATCCTAAAATAAAGGTTGACACTAATAGATGCAGAGGCACCATATGAATCATCAGTTTTACCGTCTCAGTTTTCCGGGTTTGGAGCCAAGTGTACAGGATGATGTGTGAGGC